TGCTTGGGTTGGGGGGGAAGTTGGGAGACTGGCTGTATAAATAATCTTAGGGTGGGGACTGCTACACGAGAGAGGCCAACCATGTCATTTAGGGTAGGCTTTGGGTCCCAGTGATATTAGTCAACCTGGAGACTGAGTTCAACCACCTGGGCAATTAGTCACTCTGTTTTGCCTATGTAATGCATCTCCAGTGAAAACTCTGGACTCTGAAGCTGGCTTAGCAGTACTCTGTGTGTATTATCACACATAGATGCCAGGAGGGTAATGTGTTCTGATTCCATGGGAGAGGACCATTGGAGGCTCTGTATTTGTAAGCCCCCCAGACTCTGCTCTGAGTTTCATCTTTTGGCTGATTTTAATCTGTATTAAACCGTGATAACCTTTATGTGATAAATTGTAATAAGCCATCTCTTTTAATAAGCTGTAAACATGATTATAATAGCTTTCAGTAAAGTTCTATGAGTCTTTTTGACAAATTATTGAACCTCAGAGTGGTTTTGGAAACTGCCCAAACGTCTAGTTGATTGTACAAGAGAGGGCAGTCTTAAGGCCTGCTCCATCAGACTTTGTAGTTGCCTACTTCCAGACAGCATGTTTTCATTTATCTTGGGTATATACCTAGGAGTAGGGTTGCTGCATCACATGGTAACTCTTCTACCTTTAACTCTTGAGGAACTACTGAACTATTTTTCACAGTGGATGTGTCATTTTACATTTTACATTCCCACTGGAAACATACGAGTGTTCCAGTTTCTCCACATTCTTAGTGACACTTATTTTCTGTTTTGTTTGTTTTCAGTTATAGCCATCCTGATGAGTATGAAGTGATATCTGTGGTTTTGGTTTGCATTTCTCTCATGACTAATTATATTGAACATCTTTTCATGTCCTTATTGGCCATCCTTATATATTCTTTGGAGAACTGACCGTTCAGATCCTTTGCACATTTTAAAATTAAGTTACTTTTTGTTGATTTCTAAGAGTTCTTTATACATTCTGGATATTAGGCCCTTACCATATATGGTTGGCAAGTATTTTCTCCCATTTTCTCTTGTTACCTTTTCACTTTCTTTCTAGTGTTCTCAAAGCACTAAATTTTACACTTGGTTGAAGTCCAGCTTAACCTATTTTTCTTTTTGTTGCTGAGCATTTGGTGTTGTATTTAAGAAACCATTGCCTTAATCAGGGTCACAATGATGTACACCTATGTTTTCTAAGAGTTTCAACTCTCACGTTTAAGTCTTTGATCCATTTTGAGTTTAATTTTATGTATGATGTGTGGTGGAATCACAATTTTATCCTTTTGCGTTTGGATATCCAGTTGTCCCAGCATCATTTGTTGAAGACTGTTCCCAGTTATTTCTCATTATTAGAGTTAAGTGTTAAATTCAAAAGAATCAAAGAGTCCAATTTTATATTCTATGGTAATGTGTTCCAGTTTTCTGTAAGAATTTTTTTTTAAATACTAAATTTAAATTTCATTTGCCTTTTATTTTAATGAAAATTGATAGTTTTTTTATATGTTATTCTTGAATACTCTTTAGAAGTTTTAAAAAAGTAAATGCTTGATCATAATTAGCAATATCTTTGGAGGCAGCTTTTATAATTCTGAAAAATAAACTCATTCCTTTTATAATATTTTATGATACTTTTACATAAGCATGTTTTGAAATTTTTTGTTTAAAAAAATTTTTTTTTGAAATTTTTTGTTTTTTTAGCTTGTAAGTGTATGTTTATGATTTTTTGTAATGATTTATCATATTGTTTCTTTCCTTCAACTTTTGATTTAAAAAATTCCAAACTTTGAGAAAAGTGAAAGAATAATACATGAATATCAAATTGCCTTTCCTCTAGATTCACCCGTTTTTAATATTCTACCACATTTGTGTGTATTTTCTTTCTCCATCTCCATTAATTGCCATTAATAATATTATCAAATACACATTATGTGTGTGTGTGTGTATACATATATATATATATATATATATATTTTTTTTTTTTAACCTCTTCTCAAAGTGTTCTTTTATGGCTATATTTTTCTTTTCAGTTTTCAGATTTAAGCTCCAGTCAGGGATCACACATTATATTTGGTCTTTATTTTTCTTTTTTTCCTTTAATGCAGAATAGTCTCCTGGCCATTTTTTACTTTTCAGGATATTGACTCTTTTTTAAGATCCCATGTTCCTTTTTTGTAGATTTCCTACCATTTGGATTTGTCTGATTGTTCCTTCATGAGATTCAGGTTAAATATTTTCGGTAAGAATGCTACCTTAGTGATAAAGATGCATATTTTGGAATTTGCTCGGTGATTTCTAGGAGATTAAAACTAAAAAATGGAATATTTCATTCCTCCCCCCTTACCGCACATCAACCCAACTAAATAAAATCAAGGCAATCAAAGAATCTGCAGTTATTGGGAACATCAAACTTCAAATTTTTGACCTGATGTTTTTCATACTTTGGCAAACTTAGTTTTTTTAAGTTATCACTTTGATTATAAGAAATGCTAGTCTACTAGAAGAGCACTGGTCTGGATGGTAGGAAATGGGTGCATGAGATATGAATTGTTTTACTCATTTATTTAAGAAATACTATTGATCATATCCTCACATTATACAGTTGCTATGTGTGAGAACTGGATTCCAGTGTTTATTGCATTTGGCCATTAGGATGTCATTTACTTTTTTCCAGAGCAGGTATAGTAGTAGAAACCTCATTATAGTCAACTGAGGAATAAAATAAAGGAGACAAAGTAGAAAGATAAATGCATACCAGTCCTTAGCTTAGTTGTAGAATTGAGGGAATTTCTCTTCTCTCTTCCCCTCCCTACCTCCCCTGTTTCTCTCTTTTTCTTCCTTTAAAACCTAGGCTGATGGTAAGGAACTGCTAGAGAGGTTGAGACACAGAAGGAGAGGAATAACTAGCATTGTAAGATACCGGAAGATGGGAATAAGAACACAGCTGGAGGGGTAAGCTTTAGATAGGTGAAGCCGTACCATTTGATTTAAGAGGAAATGTATACAAATGGATAAGTGAAGGTATATAAGGAGAGAGAGGGGGTTAGGTAGTTGAAGGGGTCAGGTGGTCTTTATTTTTACTGATACATGAGTTAACTTCATCTGCCAAGAGTGAGTTTAGGTAAGAGATTTGAAGAGAAGAGGGTTTGTAGTTGACTAAGGATAAGTAAAAGAATTGATGAGTCATTTTGAGAGCCTGAGAATGGGTTTAATTGACCCAGTTCTTCACTTCTGCATTTTTCTCCCCATATGAAGAGGTTGAATTGAATTGTGTGGAAGTTGGGTTGAATTGAAGATTAGAGGTTTGAAGGAGCTGTGGGGTGAAGGGTTAAGGGGTGGATGGGAATTTAGGGTGCTAATGAGAGGGCAGTGAAATGATTGGTAGTCTGTGGAAAAGAGGTGCACGTGTGCAGGAAGAAATGATAGACTCAATAAAGTAGAGGAATGGGGCACGGTTTGCTTCGATAAGGTCAAAGAATAGGTTAGGGATAGAAGGTTACAGCCAGAGATAGATCAATGTTTAGTTTCAGAGATGGAATCAGTGTGAGTAATGATGAGGTCCAGGTTAAGGTAACTGGAATGGATTATTGGGATGAATGCAATTGTATTTGTTTAGGGGAAGAATAGTTGAGGTATGCACATTATATAAATTGTGCCTTGAAATTGCCAGGATAATGGCAAGATTTGTGTTAGTAAGGTAGAAGGATCTTAGAGCTTAAAGCTTCATTGATTATGGAGAGTGAGGAAGAAATGGGTTCAATAAAGAACATTACATTCTAGCACAGCCAGATGGCATACCTCTCAGAGAAGTGGATTTTATGCAAATGTGGAGGAGTTTTAGCCTGGAAGTGGCTAATAGGGGAGCTAGGAGAATACAGACTCTCCTCTCTCTGTTGTGTGTATTGGGTGTTAGAGAAAGGCCCACATTCATTAGATTGGATTTTATAGAGCAAGTAGTTCCAGCAAGAGAAACTAAACTTTATGCTATTAATGACTAGGGGGTGCAAGACTATAGAATTTTTTTTAAATGAAAGCATGAGGGTTTCTTTCTTTTCTTTCCTTTCCTTTCTTTTCTTTTCTTTTCTTTTCTTTTCTTTTCTTTTCTTTCTTTCTTTCTTTCTTTCTTTCTTTCTTTCTTTCTTTCTTTCTTTCTTTCTTTCTTTCTTCTTTCTGATTTTATTTATTTATTTGAAAGAGAGAGAGGAGAGAGCACAAGCAGGGGGAGCAGCAGAAGGAGAGGGAGAAGCAGGCTCCCCGCTGAGCAGGGAGCTCCATGACTTGAGCTGAGGACAGACGCTTAACCGACTGAGCCACCCAGGCACCCTGAAAGCATGAGGGATTCAAAGAGCCAGTGGAATTGATTGGAATAAGAAAGAAGCAGGATGGGGCGCCTGGGTGGCTCAGTCAGTTAAGCATCTGCCTTTGGCTCGGGTTGTGATCTCAGGGTCCTGGGATCGAGCCCCACGTTGGGGTCTTTGCTCAGTGGGGAGCCTGCTTCTCCCTCTCCCTCTGCCTGCTGCTCCCTCTGCTTGTGCTCTCTCTTTCTGTCAAATAAATAAAATCTTAAAAAAAAAAAGAAAGAAGCAAGATGATAGATTGAGGGTTGAAAATATAGTGGAATATTGAGATAGTTTCAAGACTCACTGTGATGGGGTCCCTGTGTAATGTACAGATTATGGAAACCAAACAATGATATTTGATTAATTTTGAATGGGAGACAAGCATATTAGTGAAATTACTGGAATGTAATACATTTAGAAATGATAAAGCTAGCCTGACAATTTTCTTATTAAAAATGAAAAAGGGTTAATTCTGACTTGCATGTAATAATGTGTCCACTGGGTGTCACTGTGGCTTCACGTTTAGTTATACAAATAAACAGGTACAGGAGCTTTGTGGAGTCAATATTACATGGGTCTTCTGTCTGCTTATTTTTCCTTTTTGCAGTGAATTTTGCTAATATCTTTTTCTGGTTTTTTTTAGGTACAGCTATTTATCACCATTGCAAATAAAGCAGATACCTATTCCTAAACTGGCGGCTCCAAACTGTCTTATCATTACTTGGGTGACCAATAGACAGAAGCACCTACGTTTTGTAAAGGAAGAACTTTATCCTTCTTGGTCTGTTGAGATAGTTGCTGAGTGGCACTGGGTAAAAGTAAGTTGAAAAATTAACTTATTTGTTAATATAGTGTGACATATAAGTCACATAAATAAATATAGCATCTAATTTTTAATACTTAACATGGCACTGCTCTACTTCTTCAAAACAGTCTATTTAAAACTTTTACTTTGATACTAAATACTTGTTTCTTTTTGATGCTAAATACTTATATCTTCTTATTCTCAAAGGCTTTTTACTTTTTGTTCTGTGTCTTTTTTGTGGTAGAGTCTCAAACTGCTGGCCTTAGGAAATATTTGATTCAGGGAGATATCAGGATGACATTCTAAAAAGCTCTGATGTCTGTAGTTTAAAAAACAACAAACAAAAACTTTGGAGAATCTATCAGGAAACATAGAAATAGTTTTGTCCTTCATCTTCTTGCTCTTTACGCATCCACAATTTCAATCACCCTTTGTGGGTTCTTTCCTGTTTTTTTTTCTTTTTTCTTATTGTTGCTGGGGATGGGAGGGAGAATAGCTAAGTAACCCAGCATGGAAGAGGTGGAAAGAACCAAGAACCTTACGTACTTGAAATTTTAACTTAGGTCCTCAGTGCCTTATGTGCTGCTGTGCCTATTTTGAAAGAAATGACTCCAATTCTTGGATTGGTTGAATGATCTTTAATATCTCTGTTTACTATAAAGAACGAAAAAATACAGAAAAATAAGGCATCAGTTCAGAGTCCATTGGACATCCTTTTAAAGATGCGTTGTCTACTTAGATGAATTTTGCAAAAGCCCTCCTACATTTCAAAAAGATAAGCCAACTTGTTATCAATTGAATGTTTAATATTTGTATAGCTGATACATTCATTTTAAATGGAAGAGTTCTATTTTTATGTACTTTGTATGTATTTTGTGGTATACTGGTATATCTTCTAAAAGGTGTGTATATTGTTTATTTGACCTATTTTAATGGACTTAGGAAACAAACATTAACAGTGGTATCTTTGCTTTTATAACATACTTTGGGCTTAGCTTTGGTTGATTTGGTATATAGGACATTGATGGGAATATAAAACTCCATTCTACCCTGTACATTATGACAGTTCTCTTATTGTCAGAGATGGGGGTCAAAGTCAGGAAAAGGGTACCTTCTGAAATCAAAACCAGTAAAATGTTAATACATAAAATCTAAGACTACCCTATTCACTTGTAGTACTAATCAGTATAAGAGATGATATGATAAGCCCAGAGTTTAAAACAAAAATACAGTATATTATATGAAACACTGTTAGGTACCTATATGTACTGTTATAACAGAAGAAGTAATTTGCATTGAATATAAAATATATCCAAATAATAAGAATTTGCCTGTATTTATACAGCACTGTGTGGAAGAGATGCTGTCTCTCTTGGGCCCTAGAGGTGATAATAGGACTTTACTGATTTGGCTTTTTAGTTATCTTGATACTTAGTAAAAGGTTCAATAGATAATAGCTGTGAATATTCTGATGGTGAAAATATGTATTTTAATGGCTAGTTAATTGATATTGCTATTATAAATTGTGTTTTCAATTTGATTAGCTTTAAGTGAGTCTTTGAGAGTATGATCACTCCAGGATGAAATGACAAAATTGAATTTCTGGATTAAAATGCCAAGGGATTAGACTAAGTATTGTCTATCTTATCAGTCTCTGAGCTTTTTTTTATTACTAATTCTAGCTCTGACAGTATTTAATGACACTGTATTCTGTAAAGTTTAATAAGATATACTTTATTATAATCCACTTAGTCACATTGCCAGTAATCAGTAAATATTATTTGAATGAATAAATGAATTAATGATAACATGGTTTCAGGAATACATTTTAATGAAAAGTAGATTTTTATGTGTAAGATGATAAAGTGATATTTAAAATATGTTAGTCCCTTATAGCTGCTCTGTCCAAGTGATGCTCACTAGCCATGTGTGGCTCTTTAGCACCTGAAATGTGGCTTGTCAAAATTGAATTGATGTTAAGTGTAAAATATACATTGGATTTCAAACACCTAGTATGAAAGAAGAAATGTAACATACCTCAGTAACTTTTTGAATTTATTACATATTGAAATAGTATTTTGGATATGTGAGACTAAACTAGATATATAATTAAAATTGCTTCCACATTCTTCTTACTTTTTTTAATGTTTAATGTTAGTAGAAAATTTAAATTACTCATGTGGTTTGCATTTGTGGCTTACATTTATTTTTATTGGATAGCACTAGCCCAGAGGTTTAATTTCTTTCTCTTTGGCAGAAACTGTATAGTGATAGAAAAAAAGCCAAACTCTTTCCTGGATATTTACAGATGTATGGTTCTATTTTGTTTTGTTTTTTTGTCTCCTATCAGATCACCAATTCAGGAGAATTTGTGTTCCCATTAGATTCTCCGCACAAAAAGCCTTATGAAGGTCTTATACTGGGGAGAGTTCGAGAAAAAACTGCTGTACCGTTAAGGTAGGAAAAGTGATTTTTCAAAATTGTATAAATGTATACAAAATTGTATAAATGTATACAAAATTAATAGTATAATGATCATTGATTTTCCTTAATTTTTACATTTTTGAAAATCTGAAAATGGCCCAGACAAGTGTGAATGGTATGGTACATGAAATTTTATATTATCTTTTATCTAGTGTGTAAGTGTCATTATTGAAGAAAAGGAAATTTTTGGTAATGTCTCAGTACTTAAATTGCTGATTTACATTATTGCTTCTATTCTTGAATTTATTTTTAAATTCAGATTCTATTTGAAAGGTGAAAAAAATCAAGGCAACTGTGACTTATATATGAAAAATTGTCCTTTAAAATATAATTTACTTTGTTGTTTTGTTTTAATTAGGAATGAAGATGTAAAAGTACTTCCCATTCCAGATCACAAGTTAATTGTCAGTGTGCCCTGTACTCTTCATTCACATAAGCCACCGCTTGCTGGTATGTTTTTATAAAATAGAATTGTTATGACGTCTGTCAAATTGAAGAAAGGATTGAATTTAGTATTTGAATGGTATAGAGATTGGAAATTAAATTGGATGTTTTATTTTTGTTAATACTCTAAAATTTTACAGCAGAATTTATGAATAGTGTTTTTATTTATTTTGTTACAAAAGCTTTATTGTTTTCATTTGGTCCCTGACTTGAGAGAGGGCTCTATGATGGTTAGAGGGCTGCCTAGTGGCTGCAGGGAGAGGCACAGGCAGAAGCTCTGACATCAGGGGGATGTGGAGGTGCCTGTCAAAGGCTGCTGGGCTCTGGAAGCTCCTAGTTGTGCTTGAGGATGAGCCTTTTGAAGAGATACTTGACTGGCCCGGCCCAGCCCAGGACCAGCCACCAACCAACCTGTGGAGGTTAGTCAGGTGGTCACCCAAGTTCTTGATGAGTTTTGCCTCCTCATCTGGAAGTGGCTCTCCAGGAAGTCACACAGATGGGGATTTAATGGGCAGAACCCAGAGCATACATATCCAGAAGGGCCTGGTTCAGGTTGTTCTTCAGGGCCGTGCAGCTTCCATGGCATCTACGGCTTTGCCTCACTCATTTTGGGAGGGATTCTTCATGTTTTGGAAAGGGCGTGGCTGCCGCACTGGTTTTGCATCTTCTAAGAGATGCCTGGCCAACTTGAGGAAGAAGTGCCTAGGCCTTCCGGAGTCACATTGTCACAGTCCAAATAGAAGCCCTGAGAGGTGGATGTAAGAGGTCTGCAAATACAGGTTGACCAGACAGTTAACAGTGGCCTCCACCTTGGGAGAATTATTCTGAGGAATCTGGGAGCTCACCGTTTGTCAGCAATAAGGAGCTAACCACAAAAAATGGGGTGGCTGGTCCTGGAGGTTGTTCCTGGAAAGGAGATTGGAAGGTGGTCGGAGGGTAGTCAGAGATTGGAAGAAGGGGGTCCCTGGGTCTGTTCCATCCAGAGACTGTTGAACAAGATTATTGAACCGTTGAAGCAAGAGATAGGTTTGTGGGATTGCCAGCTGCACTGTATAGATTAGTTTTATTTCACCTCTGCTTTTCCTTTTATACCATTTTTTTTAGGTTCCCCTTATTATTGTTTGTTACTCCCTCACTGTCCTTGATAGACTAAAGACTGTTGGGGCAGCTAAGGATTGTAGTTCTACTAGGGGCTTTATTTCACTATGAGGGCTCTATCCCTTGCTTGTTTTGAAACCAGGAGCTCAGAAAAGCAGACAGAGAGAGATAGTGAGAATCCCCTTGATACTTGGTAGAGATTCAGTTTTATGTTGAGGTAGTGTTGCTTTTCTGAACTATTGGAAAGGTAATTGCTGCAGCCTAGAATTCTTACTAGCCTTAATGCTTTATTTAGTAAAATGTTCATCATTCAGTGAAACTAAGCAGCAAGGAATAATGGAAAGTTTTAGCTTTGGAGATTGACTAACATGAGTTTGAATCCTGGCTCTGCTACTTAATGAGTTACTCTAACCATTTTTTACCTCAGAGTCCTCATTTAAAGAGCGACTAATGATATTTAATCTTTTAGAGTTGTGAGGATTGCTTATAATATATTTGAAATTCTGTAGTATATAGTAGAAGCTCTGTAAATGCTAAATTTTTCAAGTGAGAGTTTAAAAAAATAGGAATGTAGGGGCACCTGGGTGGCTCAGTCACTTAAGTGTCCGACTCTTGATTTTGGCTCAGGTCATGATCCTCAGGGTTGTGACATCAAGCCCCCATGTCAGGCTCCTCACTGGGCATGGAGCCTGCTTAAGATTCTCTCTCTCTCTCTCCCTTTCTCTGTGCTCCCCCCCAAAAAATAGGAATGTAAGTCCTTGAGACATACTCAATTTGTGATTGTTTCCTATTCAAAAAATTTGAGGAATATTTTTTTTATTAATTTGGTGATCCCTGCTTAAAAAACCCAAAACATTTAAGCTACCACTCAGGAAAACTACAGGGTCCCCAGCCTATCATATTATTTTGTAGAATATGGGCTAGTTCATGAGCTAGAATACATAGGAAAGTGAATACAGAGTCTCAAGGTAATTTTTATTGATAGCGCTTAGGATTTCTGTTATCTTAAATTGCTTATGCAGAAGAATTTGTAGTGTTACTTCATTTGAGAAATACTCAGATGTTTTCCTGATGATCCATTCTTGACTTAGAGGCATGCTGAGTGAATAATTATCTTTAAGCTTTGTACTGTCATAGACTCTTAATTGCATTAATATTATGACTTAAATGAGTGACATTGTACTGTTCTTTGAGAAAAAAATTGTTTGGTACCAGTATTCAATGGAGGGAATCTAATTTGTATCCTTCTAATTTGAATTTTCTCTATCATTTAGTGAGTATCAAAAGCGTAATTTAGTGTTCGTCGTAGGGCTTATTTTTTTACTTTTAAAAGCCAAGACCCAACCTTTCATTCTCAATTTATAGTTAAACTGTTTATCAATTCCTTTTACATAGGATAAAATTATGTTTAAAGATTAATCTTAAAAAACAAGGTTTTAAAATAGTAAATAAAAATTAGTCTTTTATTAATCCTAATAAAAATCAGCCTATATCTATGAAGTGCAGTTCTGCCATATTCCCAGTAGAGGGCAGCACAAACACATTTTTTTTTTTTTTTTAGGATTGAGATCTTTTAAAAAAAGAAAAGTTAGATTTTGCGGGGGGCCAGGGGGTAATCCATATGACTTGATATGTAATCCTTATATTTTGGTTAGGTGGTGGTAGACAAGAAGTATTTGTAACCATATATTTTTGAATTTATGTTACTACATAGCCAGTGCATATATTTTTAGGTATAGAGCTATACAAATTAAAGCCATCAAAAAACAATTTCTGCATTGTATTTCACTCTGAAATCCTAACTCTAGGTTTTAGGATAGTACATGTTCTATATGTGATGCTTAGAACTTTTACATGTAAATGTTCTTAAACTGTTTTATGTAAATTCATAAAATAAAATGTTCTCTCTTTTGCTTCTAGAGGCACCAAGATTTTTAAAAAAATTTAATTTTTTAAAGTAATTAATTTTTTATTATGTTAATCACTATATATTATATCATTAGTTTTTGATGTAGTGTTCTATGATTCATTGTTTTTGTATAACACCCAGTGCTCCATTCAGTACGTGCCCTCTTTAATACCCATCACCAGGCTAACCCATCCCCCCACCCAAACATTTTTAATTTATTGCTACATTTACTCTGTTTTTAAATTTTGAAGTTTCCTGCTACAGATTAAAAGATAAGCCTTCAATAGCTATGGCTTGTAATCTAACAATTATAAATGTTTATAAAATTTAAAGATTTAAAAGTATTTGGATCAAAATTGTTTTTTGTATTTTACCTTAGAGGAATTTCCACTCCTTTTACTACTTTACTCACTAACAGTTTCTATCTGAAGAGTAAAACACAGTTTGATAAGATTCTGTGCACTGTGTTGGAGCCCCTTCTCCCCTAACCCTGCCCTTTGTTCCCAGAGCAAAAGGGGAATGACTGGCTATGTGTGGATTGTTTCTTCTTCTTTGATTAGAAGTATGTTTTGCTAATGTCAGATGTTATATAATTATCTAAGTATATGTATATGTCCTATTCTTTAATTTATACATTTGAATTTACTTTTTAAAAATTGAGGTATAATTAACATACACCAGTATATTAGTTTCAGGTGTACAATGATTTGATGTATATATATATTGAGAAATGATCACCAATCACCATAAGTCTAGTTAACATCCATTACCACACATAGTTACAAAATGTTTTCTTTGTGATTAGAACTTTTAAGATCTCGAGTTTACTTTTAAACTGATATTTAAAATTAGTAAGAATAAAACATTTCCATTCATTTGCTTTTATTTCTTTTGCTTTGTTTTGAAATGTGGTTAACATTTTAAAAATATTACTTCTTGACTTTCTATTTTTCTCAACCAGAAAGGAAAAAAAAAACCATGCAGAAATGTGTTACATTGAGAAAGTAGGAGGTAGTAAATGGGTTTAGGTTTTATGTACTATATTTGTCAACTCCCAAGTGCCTGGCCATCTTTTTCTACTAGATTGTGTACTCTTAGAAAACATGGATATCTGTTTCCTTTGTTAAGTTCCATAATACTGATTATAGTGGATGCTCAGAATAGTAAGCGTTTTTGACTGGCTGACTCCCGCCTGTTTGGACTCCAGATTATGGTTTAAGAATAGAATTGCTAATGTATTTGTACCAAAACACTGAACAAACAAACAGAAACAAAGAAAACTTTGCTTCATATAACTTTAGACCACATTAAAAGTGAATTGAGGTTGATAAGGCATTGAATTCATGGAGAAAAAATGGAAGAGTGATATAAGTTTATTGTCCTCTAAGACTCTGGGGAAGTCTTTCTCTCTCAGGTTTAATAACATTTAATTATACACTTATTTTTTTTTAAGATTTTATTTATTTATTTGAGAGAGAATGAGAGAGAGAGAGCACATGAGAGGGGGGAGGATCAGAGGGAGAAGCAGACCCCCTGCTAAGCAAGGAGCCCGATATGGGACTCGATCCCAGGACTCCAGGATCATGACCTGAGCTGAAGGCAGTCGCTTAACCAACTGAGCCACCCAGGCGCCCTAATTATACACTTATGAAAGGACTAGAAGTCTCATGTTAGCATCCCCTAAAAGCTATCAAAGCCCAAATTTGACTTCAGTTGGGTTATAGACAATGAATGCTTTAAATTCTTTGATTTTTGATAAACAGGACCAATACTTTTATAGAAATAAACAGTTCTTTTGCTGTGAGAGTGATTGGGAGAACATTATGAACATGAAAATTTTTTTATATATTTTCTTTTAAACTTTACCTATATCAAGTACTCCTAAGGAATACTTACCATTCCTCTTTAGGAATTTGATAAATTTCTTCCAAGCTCAATCTTCTATAGTAATTAAGAACTATATTTAAAAAATGCTCTTCTAGGACTTTTCATCCCTGAATTGTTATTTTCATACCCAGTTCCTATAATGTGGTTAATATAGCTAACCAGCAATGATCAAGGTTAAACTGATTTAAATATTTGTAATCCAAGTGAACATGTGCTTTAAAAAAAAAAAAAACTTTTATCGTGTTTTCTTTCTGTTACTGTGTATCATAGCATTTAGTCAACATCTGTATGAGGTAGCTTTTTCCTGATAAAACACAATTTTTAGTAGTTATTATTACATTACATAAGGACTACTTGTGGAAATACTATGGTGAAATTTTAGGTAAAAAGGATCTATACTTTGGAAATGATGGAATGTGCTACCAAGTCATAGCTATGAGGGTATTGTATTTGTTATTTATATTGTTCAATATTTTTATCGGTATCCAGTTCTTCATTTACTGCTCTCTTGCTGATATATATGCTTGCAGAAACTTATATTTTATCTCAGTTTTTAAGTGGGTTATTTTTGTGTTGTTTCTATATACTTCTTTTTCATGCACAGATTACATTTATTAAAAAAATTAAGTTAGTACTCAGGAGATATGTTAGCAGTAATGGAAAACTGAAAAGTCACCTGTGAGGGTGTTAAAATTCTTATTTCTCATCTGCAAATGAAAACTGATAATCAAGACTCTTGAAATTTCTGATGGTGTGTTTCCAATCTCAGGAGTGGTTATTTCAAATGACTTCTAACTACAAATAGTAAAGCCTGTGATGAAATCCTTGCAATTAATTAGCTGTCCCTTTTTTTTTTGTTTAAGGAAACATTCCCGCTTTTCTGCTTTAAACTGCTAAAAGGAAATTGATTCCTTTCTTAATAGTAATTTTTGTGTTTTTTCTCTTTTTTGGACAGAGGTTCTAAAAGACTATATCAAGCCAGATGGGGAATGTTTGGAATTGTTTGCTCGAAATTTACAGCCAGGTTGGACTAGTTGGGGCAACGAAGTTCTCAAATTTCAACACATGGATTATTTTGTTGCTCTGCAGTCTAGAAGCTGACTATGATCTTAAAGTTGTGATTTTCTTCACTTTTTCCTCAACCCTTTTTCCTTCATTCTAACTGATATTTCCTTTTCTTACCAACCAGTATGCTTAGAAATGTAAACAGGACTTGGTTTCCACTTTGGTGGAAGTGACTAGTCTTTATGTAATTTTGAGATGAATTTACTTCCGTTGCACTAGTAGTCCCCATTATTCCGGATTCACTGCAAATAAAGAGGTAAGCAGTTAGAAAAATGACAAGACTTTGTTATCGAAAAAGTTCGGAAAGCACGCACTATGGACCAGAGGTCATAATTCTGCCTATGGATGTGTTTCATTTGGCCCATATGGTGTTACAAAAGAAATTTGAACCATCATTCTGAAAATTTGAACCATCATTCTGAAAAATCTACACATAAAGTGTAGATTTTTGCTTTTCTCTAAACATCAGAAGCTCTGGCTGCATTGAGGTCTGTATTCTTTCCTGGCATCAGTCAGTAGGACCCAGTGGTAGCAGCTCACTTGGGAAGGGACATGGGCTCTGCAGTTTACCACAAAAACACTTGCTCCATGCCACTCACTTGTATTGTCTACATGGCCCCTGTGCAACCCAAATTTATGATCTCTGGTATACTGTTGCATTCTGGAAAAAATATTGAGAGACCTGCCGAGTACCTCATTATTGTACTGAGCTTATGAAACCTTTTTGGAGGGTTTTAAATTGCATTCAAGGTCACTTTTCTTTTTTTTTAATTTTTT